GGGCATGGGGACGCCCATGATCTGATGTCTTACTTTAAAGTCCTGCGGGCCATGAGGTAGCTGGTCCTCCGCATCAGCAGTGAACCGCTCAGGGTAGGCCGCGCGATCCTCAGCGCTCGCAAAATCAAGCCAACTCCACTCCAACGCGTGCACAAAAAGCGTGGTGCGCACAAGACGAGGCGGCAAGACAGTGACACGGTTGATGTTGCCCTGCATCACATTGCGGGCAATGAAATCAGCGAGTGTGTTCCAGGGATGCTCATTGTGGGCACGAATGTAACAGACCTCCAGAGGTCTGACACGACGCACCGTCCGAATAATGGCAACAAGGAGACGCATAACCTCGTGCTTGGGGTCAATAGTAGAAACTCCATTGACAACATCAACAGCATTCTTGGAAAAATAGAGACGGGACTCCTATCCTGCGAAGCAATGGATTCTCCTAAGATCTGCACGCAAGTCCAAAATATGCCAAGGGCCTCATGGTGCAGAATGTCTGGATCGTCTGTCATTGGTCGAGCCTGGCAAGACGCCCCCCAGTCACAAGACCAGAAGCCCCCGAACGCGCAAAGGTTGTCAGAAAGCTTACGAACGCACACGGAAGCCCAAGCACCCTGGGTACCATCTCCTCCTCCTCCTCCTCCTCCTCCTCCTCCTCCTCCTCCTCCCTTCCCGGGGACCCGCTCTTCGTCCCGAGCCGTTTCTCGGGGGGCCCCAAAGGGGGTGGCGACCACACCGTGCGGTGAGTCGGTGGGGATTCGGGGTCACCGCACGGTTTTGGGGCTCGAGTCCCTCTCCGAGGACGTCTCGGGCGACAGGAGCCTCCAGGGTCCCAAGACCGTGCGGTGACCGACCGTGCTTTGAGGTCTCCTTGGGTTCCGAGGTCAGCGCACGGTCTGTCACCGCACCGTTTCGGGACTTCAAGGTTTCCTGAGGGTCCCGGGGCCCGCCGTTGAACTCCCCCAGACCCAGACCTCCGACGAGATGTTTTTTTTTTTCCGGGAAAGGGCATAAGCCCAGGGTTCTCTTTTAGTTGGTTTACCTGCGTGTTTGACTTGAGGTGGGCCGGCGAATTTCTATTGTGATAAATATCGAGGTCGAGGTGGGCCGGCTAATTAAATTTTGAGGATGGCTCGAGCGAAACGCTTGTTGTTTAGAATGTGTTGAGGACGTCTCAAGCGAAACGCTTGTTTGGTGTTATAGATTGTCCTCTCCTGGGGACCTGAATTCAGATGATCTCTCAAGTGAAATTCTTGTTTTCAGATGTCTCGAACCAATTTGCTGAGGATGTCTTGAACCAGAGGTTTGTTTTCACGTGTCCAGGTCGCCCAGGCGGATGTCTAGCATGAGGATTTGTCGAGGAAGTCTCGAACCAGAGGCTTGTTTGCACGTGTCCAGGTTGCCCAGGCGGATGTCTAGCATGAGGATGTGCTGACGACGTCTTAGCGAAGCGCGTGTTTTCACGTGTCCAGGTCGCCCAGGCACAGTATAGCCCTCGGCACGGTACATCAATATCGATACCCTTAGCATTGCAGCCTGGCATGTTGCCTGGCACGTTCCGCGGAGCGTCCCGTGGCGAGTCCCCCTGGCACGCCGCGCGGTGCACGTCCATTGGCACGTTCCGTAGCGCGTCCCCTTGGCACGTCCCGCGGTGCGTGCCCATGGTACGTCCCCTGGCACGTCGCCTGGCGCGTCACTTGGGACGTTCCGCGGCGCGTCCTCCTGGCATGTCCCCCTGTCGATTAGTTCTGGGGCAGCAACCATTTGCTCAGGCGGCTCGAGCTTACGATCCAGATCAGTTCGGTCAGGACTCGGATGCCAGGGAGGACTCGATCCACAACGCTATATAGAGCACAATCGCGGCATGGCACTTCGCAGTTCAGTATGGCGTAGCACAGCACAGCCCTCGGCACAGGACATCAAGATGGATACATTCAGCATTGCATGTGCCCGTCGCCCAACCAGGTGTCTTTGCAACGTTGCCATGCCTCCTTGTTCTAATTCCTTTCCGGGTTCGTGGGTCGATCATGTGTCAATCCCAGCGCTATTCCTCGACCTTCGGCCTGCAAGGGCCCGTCATCGGGCCCCGAAGCCATCAAGAACGGGGCCAAGGCGAAACTACAGTATGGGCTCGACCAGAAGAATGTTTCCACAAGAGAGGGCGCCGCGTCCAGGCCCTCGGCGGGGGGGGGGGACAGGAGGGCGGGAGCGCGAGCTGGGCCCCTCCCCCTCCTCCTCCTCCTCCTCCTCCTCCTCCTCCTCCTCCTCCTCCTCCTCCTCCTCCTCCTCCTCCTCCTCCTCCTCCTCCTCCTCCTCCTCCTCCTCCTCCTCTCCTCACCCAATCCGGAGACTCCAGGGCGTCCACTGCTTGTTGGTGTGGGCACGTCACGCGTGCCACAGCAAGGCCATCGCATCCCAAGAAAATCCCAGGGTACCCTGGAGGCGAGCAGGCCGTTTCTGGGCGTGGGTCTCCCCCGGGAAGGGGCCGGGACCTCTGGGACCGCGCACTGAAATCATCCTTCGGATGCCCGGGCCCCTCGACCGCCTTCTCGTCCCGAGCCGCCTGCGGACGGTCCCGGGGGGCTCGGTGACCCCCCCCCGCGAGGCAGAAGGATTGACGACGAGCTCCCGTCGTGATCTTTCGTGACGGGGGCGTGCCCCGCCCCGCCGGTGCTTCGAACGGCCCCGGCGGCGTCCACGCGGTAGTCGGGGGGGGGAGGCGCGACGCTCAGGACCCATTCTGGCTCGATCGATCCGATCCGATGTTGAGTTAGCGTTTCCCGGAAAGGGCATGGGCCCAGGGTTCTCTTTTAGTAGATGGTAAATTTGTCCCCGGTGCCATGGTACCATGCTTGAAGGTGCCATGCTTGAACGAGGTAAAGTCCCATTCGGCGTGGAACAAATGCGTTTCGCGCGTGCCCGCTCGAGGAAAGTGCGCCCCCCATCTCGGATCCTCGTTGCCTAATGGGGTCCGCGGACTCCCGTTTTCCCTCGTGACTAAAAGGGTTCGGAGCATTTTGCGCAGAATCCACATTAAATAACGAGGTATGGAGCCCCGACTGGGACACGAAACATATGAAAAAGTCGACTTTGCGCGTGCCCGCTCGAGGATGGCGCGTTCCGCGCGCAGGAACTTCGAGGACGTCTCGAGTCCCGCGCTTGTTTTGTAGAAGGAAGGTCGGCTTTTTGCGTGCCCGCTCGAGGATGGCAAACCCTGCGTGCCGAATGGCTGAGGACGTCTCGGGCGAAACGCTTGTCTTGCAGCGCTTGAAAGGCTTGGGCGCTCCAGGATGCCCAGGTGGTTCCCGGGCGCTGCGGTCGGACCGCTACTTGCAAGGATCGTGGCCTCGTGAGCGCAGACGCCGCGTAATTTGCGAAGGATCCTGGCCCTGGGAGCGCGGACGCAGCGTAATTTTCAAAGCATCATGGCCCCGGAGGCGCGAACCCAGCGTAATTCACTGGGGATCGTGGCCCTGGAGGCGCGAACCCAGTGTAATTCACTGGGGATCGTGGCCCTGGGAGCGTGGACACTGCGTCATTCGCGAGGGAGCGCGGCCCTGGGAGCGTGGACACTGCGTCATTCACGAGGGAGCGCGGCCCCGGGAGCGCGGACGCAGCGTCGCTTGTGAGGGATAGTGGCCCAGGGAGAGCGGACGCAGCGTAATTTACGAGGGGTCGTGGCCCAGGAAGGGCGGACGCAGCGTCATTTGCAGCGGGTCATGGCCCTGGGGGTGGCGGACAAAAGTGCAATTTACGGTGGATCCTGCCCCTGGGGGCGCGGACACAGCGTAGTTGACGATCAGTTCGGTCAGGACTCGGATGCAAAGGAGGACTCGATGCACAACTCTGTAGAGCACAATCGCGGCATGGCACATCGCAATTCAGCACGGCGCAGCACAGCACAGCCCTCGGCACGGTACATCAAGATCGATACATTCAGCATTGCAACGTGGCACGTTCCGTGGCGCGTCCCGTGGCGAGTCTCCTTGGCACGTCGCGCGGTGCGTCCCCTGGCACGTCCCGTGGCACGTCCACTGGCACGTTCCGTAGCGCGTCCCCTTGGCACGTCCCGCGGTGCGTCCCCATGGCACGTCCCTTGACATGTCGCCTGGCGCGTCCCTTGGGACGTTCCGTGGCGCGTCCTCCTGGCATGTCCCCCTGTCAATTTGCTCTGGGGCAGCTACTCTGTGCTGAGGCAGCTCGAGCTTAAGACCCAGATCAGTTCGGTCAGGACTCGGATGCAAAGGAGGACTCGATCCACAACGCTGTAGAGCACAGTCGCGGCATGGCACATCGCAATTCAGCACGGCGCAGCACAGCACAGCCCTCGGCACAGTACATCAAGATCGATACACCCAGCATTGCGTTTTGCCCGTCGCCCAATAAGGTGTCCTTGGAACGTTGCCATGCCTTACTACATTTCTGTATTCCTTCCCGGGTTCGTGGGTCGACCATGCTTTTCTTTTCCTTTTTTTCCTGCGATTCGATGCGGCAGAATGCGCCTTAAAGCGGCGCAGCGTCAAACGGACAGCATTGGAATCAGCATGATGCGCCGTTCAGGCATCCTCTTCTTTGTCTTTCTCTTCCTCGCAGGCCACGCCCACTTGTCGTTCCAGGTCGGGGTTCGTGTCATTATCAGTTTTTTTTCCTGCGATTCGATGCGGCCCGATGCCTGCAAGGCGCAGCCGTGCATCCCGGCGCAGCCAGGCCGCTCTGACTTCGCCTCCGCGCCGGCGGCCCCATCTCCGACGCTCGCTTGGGACCCGACCCGGGCGGCGAGCCCACTCGGACGCCTCCCCCGCTCCCGCGGCAACCTCCGCGCCCTCTCCCGGCCGCGGGTCGCGCAGCACGGCACCCTGAGGCTCCTCGCTGGGATCCTCAGCAGCGCCCCGCACGAGGCTGTCCACGAGCTCCTCCACGTCCTCCTCGGACTCCGCCGCTCTCCTGCCGCCGCTCTCCTCCTCCGCCCGGCCGGCGGCTTCCGCGGCCCCGGCAGCGAGGACGCGGCAGGCGAGGCGGAGGGCGCCGTGCGGCGGCTGGAGGACAGCGCGGCCGCCCCTCCCCCCCCCCCCCCCCCGACAGCTGTCGGGTATAGCCAGGACCCCGGGTAAGGGGACCCGGTCAGTGGTAGGGCCCTGGGGCCCCTCAGTTGGCCAGATTCACTAAACCAGGTTTGCCGTATAACTGGTGTTTTTCGGGCGACGGCAGTGCTGGTTAGTGGAAATGCGACGGGGGGGGCGCCCCCGGTACAAATCACTAAACCAGGCTCCACTAAACCCAGTTCTGCCAACGCCCGAAGCTGGGGCCGGAGCGGGGGGGGGGGCAGGGGCCCGACGGCGCAGAGATGCCGGGCCGGCAGCGGCGGTCGGCCTGGAGCGCCCGCGCGGGGGTGTGCCGCCGCGCCCGCGCGGCTCGAACCCTTTCTCGGAGAAGAAGGCAAACGGCGTGAGCGTGAACTTTTGGAGCTCGGTGCGGGTTGCTCGGATCCGCGCTGGGCCCCGCTGGCGGCGCCTCCGGCGCCGCTCCAGCGCAGATCCAAGACTAGGGGGCCACATGCGAACCCTACCCCTACCCCCCACGATTTTTGAGGGGGAGGGTGGGGTTCACTTTGTTCGAGAGCTCCCGAGCGAAGTGAACCCCACCCTCCCCCTCAAAAATCGTGGGGGCTAGGGATAGGGTTCGCATTTGGCCCCCTAAAGGCATCCGCGCGGAGTGCCAACGCCGAGCTTCTGCATAAGCGTCGGGGGGGCGTCGCCCCCGCCGACAGGCCGCGGCCAGGGCCCGTCGGCAGCCTCGCGGCCGTGCCACGCGCAAGCGCGCGACGACCGAGCGCTGCCGCGCGCCGGCCGGCGCGGCCGCGCGGCCTGCGCCTGGCGCGCGGCCAGCCCCCTCCCCCTTGGCATCGCTCGGACGTGTGCGTTTTTCCTTCGGCGAGGACCAGCGAGGAGCATGCTTGATCGCTTGGCGGAAAAAACCACGCACGAAACCAGAAAAAAAACACAGGAGATGGACGTTCGAGCGATGGCCAGCCCCAGCGAGCCAACGCTTTTTCGTATTCTTCGGCCTCCCGGGGCCCTCGCCGGGCCCCGGGAGGCCGAAGACTTCGGAAAACCTCGCCGGGGCCCTCGCCGGCCTTGTTCCCAGACCCCCTCGCGTCGTGAAAAAATCACGGCGGGAGGTGTTTCAGAATTTTTGGCCTTGGGGGGCACTTGCCGGCCCTCGGGACCGTCAAGCAACGGCTCAGGGCGAAACACCGGTCCCGGGGAAGGGGCCGAGGCTCTCCGGGGCCCCGCGTGGACAAGACCACGACGCCGGGATCTCTGGGTCTGCGCCGGGCGGGCGGCCTGTCCCCTCCCCCTTGCTCTGCACTGCTCGGGATCGTTGCCCTGCTCGACATCCGACTGAGCGAGCAGAGAGGGAATCTGCGCCATGGGGAGGGCTGGGAGGGAGGGGTAGGATGTCAGATATGACGCGAGCGCACCTAGCTTGGTCCCCTCCCCCTCCCCTCCCCTCCCCCCTCCTCTCCGAGGCCCGGCGGAATCTCCTCGGAGCGGCGCAGTGGGCACTCCCTGGCGGCGGCGCCGCCGGCCTTGGCCCCCGGCGCGCGCTCCGCGCCCCCGGGGCTGGGTGGGCGCGGCGGCGATCCGAGCATGCGGGGCGTTCGGGTGCACCTCCTGGGGGGTCAAGTTCTGTGTTCGCCCTGGTCCGAGATCCGGCTCAATCCAGGCTCATATTCCCGCTCATCATGCCGCTTAGAGTGCCGTTTATAGTCCCGCTTCTAATGCCGCTCGACTGCCTCTTTAATATGGCTTAATCCCGCTGATAATGCCGCTCGATCCGGTTTCATCCTGCTTGGTCCGATGTTCCGACGGGAACCTCCCAGTAGTTGCCTCCTAAGGTGCGGGCCTCCGAAAGTTTTGCGTCGGTTCAGTGTCTGTTGCCCCTCTTGGCCCAAAACGCGCAGAAACAAAGGGCTCGTTGTTGTTGGCGTGTTTAGTTCTCTTGTTGGGTCCCAGATGTTTGGACGAGTATTTCCAACTCGCCGGGTTCTTAAAACGGTAAAAGAAACGCCCTGGGCATATTTATAATATCTGAGAAGGTCCGAGCTCTCGGGAAGGGAGCCGGGGAAGGACCCCCGCGTCCCCTGTCTACCCAGGGTCTTCTTCTTTCGATCTGACAGGTCCGATGCAAAATCGAGGTCGGGCAGCCCGATCCGATTCGGTTCCGAGGTTCCGACAATGTGATGCGGCCCGATGCTCGCATGGCGCTGTTAGGCGTTGGCGCAGACGTTCCGACTCGATCCCCGCTCCGTGCCGAGGCTGCTGGGTCCGACGCGCGTTCCGAGACGATCCGATCCGATCTCTTGATCTGATGCTGATCTTGCCTATGCAGGCGACGACGACGGCGGCGAAGACGACGGGACGGCTCGCGAGCACCAGTCTCGGCCTAGGCTGGCGCCCTTGGCGGCCTCCCATGACGAACCAACCACACACACACCCATACCCGCAGAGGGGGTCGGAGAGGGCTATGGGCGCGTGCTGTCGGATGGGCTCCCCCGCTCGGATGGGAGCGTTCCCCAGGGCCCGACAACCCGCACCCATGCCCATGGAGTGCCGTTTTGAATGCATGCTCCGCGTGCGGATCATGTAATAAAAATGCAGGGGTTAGCATCAAAGACAACGATGAGCTCATGCATACATTTATTCATAAATTGGTCCTGCATTCTAAATCCAATATGTTCAAAACATCCTATGTATTAAAAGCTGCCCTGTAGCCAGTCTTCCTCCCAACGGCCCTCCTCTGGGTCTGGGTGTGTGTTGTTCGTTCGGCGGCCCTCCGGAGCTCCCCGCGCGGAGGCTCCTGGAGGCCAGGACGGCGCCGCGCCCCAGGCAGAATTGCAGCTGTTCTACGTTCTCTCCATGTGGGCCTATCTCAGGAGGACGCACAGCAACACAGAATCGTCGGAAAACAGAGGGAAATAGCAATGTGGGAAGAGGGGGGGGAGGCGAAAACCCAGAGCATCTGTGAACGCATGGGGGGTGTGGTGGGATTTGCGGGTGCGCTCATTTGTGTGTCCCTGGGCTTCTGATGTTCCAACATATTTTAGCCTCGATCACCAGAAAGCAGCTTGAGCACCAGAAAAACAAGTCCCGAAACTCGAGGGTTTTCACGTGCCGGGCCCTGGGAGGCCCTCGCCCGACGCTGCTTCGACACTGCTTCGGCGCTCTTCCGACACTTTCCCGGGTGCTCGAAACGATTTCTGGGATGTGGTCCTCAAGTACGATGGTCGGGGGTGGACAGAACCCCCAACAGTGACACGTCGATTAGTGAATTGTCCGTCTTCGGTTCTCGAGAGGGCGCCGTGGCCGTCGTTTTCCAGGCTCGCGCCCGCCAGGTTTGGGCCTCAGGTCGCTTTCACTAAACCACGTTTTACTAAAGGGGGGTCTGTCCATCCCCGACGGCCCTGGGCGTTCACTGAGCAGCCTGGCCCTGTCTGATTCCTTCTTTGGGTGCGTTTACGAAGCGGCTTCTCGTGTCGGGGCGGTTAGTATCGGGGTGGATGTTCGGCCCTCTGCACAACGGCGTCGGGGTGACCTTAGGATGGACAAAAAACACAGACCCAAAGGATCGTTTGTCCATCCCCGAGATGGGAGCAGCGCGGCCCTGGGCCCCGCTCCTCGTCGAGGTCCCGGGCTCGGCGGTGTCCTGGCCCGGGGGGGGGCCCCCGGCGGGCGCCCGCGAGGCCGAGCCCCGCCGCCCCCCGCGGCCGTGCGCGGCCTCGGAGCGTCGGCCCCCCTTCTCCTCCTTCAGCTCCTCCTCCTCCTCCTCCTCCTGCTCCTCCTCCTCCTCCTGATCCTCCTGCTCCTCCTCCTCCTCCTCCTCCTCCTCCTCCTCCTCCTCCCTTCCTCCTCCTCCTCCTCCTCCTCCTCCTGCTCCTGCTCCTCCTCCTCCTCCTTCTTCTTCCGACACCGATGGGAGCATGAACTGCTGCACTGACGAATGACATGCAAAACGAGGCGGCAGCGGCATCGGCGTCAGCCAGCACGGTGCCTGTCCGCCGCGAAGCGGCCCCACCCGTGACCCTCGAAATAAGGGTCGTAGGGCACATAGAAATCCTGCACCTGTGGCGGGACCTCGGGGACCTGACCGACTTCCAGCAATTCACAATTACGTACAGTATGAAGGAGTGCCTGGGCAACAATCTTACATAACTGCGAAGGATATTGCTTTGCTGCTGCCGTACGGAAAACGCCATTCCCTCGGACCCCGACGAGCTCTTCGGGATGAGAGGTGTGGGGGCATTTGCCCCTGCCTGGCAACTGAGCAACTAAATCACGAAACGTCGGCACATTAACGCACAACATGGTAGTGGGTTTCTTAGACCGAGCACCACACGTACATTGATCTAAATTCAGAAACCTGATGTCAGCACGAGCTCTAAAACCATACACTGCAACCATCTCAGGGAGGCGCCAGATCGAGGGGAGGTGAGGGGCCTCCGGTTCGAGAGGATGTTCTAAAATACAGGCAGCTCCTACGGCCGCACAAACATACACGACCTGAAGCATAGTCTGCAACAAACGATTGCCGAGCATAACCTGTTCCTCCTCCTCCTCCTGCTCCTCCTCCTGCTCCTCCTCCTCCTCCTCCCCACCCTCCGCCGCTGCCGCGACGGCCGCCCCCCCCGTGCGCGGCCGTGCGCGGCCTTGCGTCGGGCACGCCCTTCTACAGGAGGAGCATTCCCAAAGAGTCAAAACATAATCCGGGCCATGATGTTCCAACCTACTTTAGCCTTGATCGCCAGAAAGAAGTTCGAGCACCAAAAAAGTACCGAATCTCAAGGGTTTTCACGTGTCGGGCCCTTGGAGTCATTCGCCCGACACTGTTTCGACACTGTTTCGACACTTTCCCGGGTGCTCGAAATTATTTCAGGGATGTGGCCCTTAAGTACGATGAGAGCAACACAAGCTTGGGGACGACTTTTATGCTGTATCCCGGAAGATTTTGGCGGCACTGCTGGAGTACCCTTGCTTTGTCGTCCAAGCTCCGGCTCTATAGGGGGGCACGTCCGACCGAACCCCAGCCCCTCACTTGAACCAGGCCTTGGCCAGCGCAGGGAGTTTACCAGTTTGAAACATATCCCTATCCCTACGTTTGACATCACCTCACCTCGATGCCGATCTTAAGGATTCCCTCAGTTTCTGAGGGCCTATCCCTAAGATTGTCCTCGCTTTCTGCTCGCCCATCTTAGGGACAGGGATACGCTCGAGGCTGGTTATGAGTCGCCTGGCGACGGGCGTTGCCCGAGCGGGACGCGCGCGTGGAGCCGCCAGGCGGAGCGGGCCGCCGGTCCTCAGCAGAGTGGCGACGTGCGCAGCCTCGCGCGCTTCTTATCGCGGCGCTTCCGCCGCCCTGGACCGCCCTGCACCGCCTCTCGCGCCCTGCTCGCCGCGCTCTCGAGTTACCAGCCTCGAACGCATCCCTATCCCTAAGATTGACGCGCCAAGAGGCGATGACAATCTTAGGGATTCGCCCTCAAAAGATAAGGGAATCCCTAAGATTGGCATCGTGATGAGGAGGTGCCCAGCATAGGGATAGGGGTATGTTCCAGGCTGGTAATCGAGGGCCTCCCAGGGTGCCGTCTTCGGGCGATCCCGGGGGTCTGTTGGCCCGCCCCGGGCACTCTCAGGGCCGAAAGGGGGCGTTGCAAACAGGGTCGTGCCTGCGAGGATCGAAGGAGTTGCCATCTCTTTCCTGGCGGAAGGCGGCGGAGAGGCGGCGGAAGGTCGGCGGAAGTAGAACGAGGCCGCCTCCGCCAGCCCAAGCCGGCGGAAGGGCGGCGGAAGGTGGCGGAAGTGAAGACTGCGCTCCAGGAGGTGAGCACGTGTTTGGGTTCGAGGTTTCCGGAGTCCGGCGAATGGCGAGAGTGTTGGAGCCCTTCGGGAGCGGGCGGGGCGCTTGCCGGCGAGCCATGGTCCGCAGCCCCGTCGGTGGTTCGGCGGGACGGGGCGGCGGCAGACGGGGTGGGGGAGCATCGGCCTGCGGCGGTCCTGGCAGCCCGAGGCGCGCCTCCACGGGGGCTGGAGATTGCGAGACCACCTCCTCGTTCTCCCTCCCTCTGTCTCTCTCTCTCTGTTCTCTCTGTCTCTCTCTTTCTCTCTCTCTCCTACCTCGCTCTCTCTCTCTCTTTGCTCCCTTTCTCCTCCCTCTCTCCTCTCTCTCTCTGTCTCCTTCCACTCTCCCTCTCTCCTCCCTCTCCCTCCTCCCTCTCTTCTCTCCCTCTGTCTCCTCCCACTCTACCTCCTCCTCCTCCTCCTCCTCCTCCTCCTCCTCCTCCTCCTCCTCCTCCTCCTCACTCGGGGTCCCTTTCGATCCGATGGATGCGATCCGATGCCCAGTTCGGCCGCTTCGCTACGACGTGGGTGCTCCGGGCCCGCCGGCTCGCCCAGAGGATCCGGCGTCGAGACTGCGGGGGGGACGAGCCGCGGGGGAGTGGAGAGACGGGTGCGCCCTCTGTGCGCCCATGGGGGCCCTCAAGGGGGCCTCCTTGGGCCCCAGGAGGGGCACGAAAGGCAGTGGGCCTCCCGGGGCCCAGCAGGGGGGCGGCGGGGTTGCTCCCCCCCCCCCCCCCCTCCCCCAATGCAGCCGACCCGCATCAGGAGGATAGGCAGCCTTCCCGAGGGTACCCTTGCATCCTCTTGCCTCCTCGGTCCATCCCTGGCCACTTGCGCTGGCCGCGCCCCGCTCAAGAAGCTTCGAACTGGGCTTCCGAGGCCCCTGCATCCTCATCGCGCATCCTTCTGATACGGGCCGGCTGAATCCCCCCCGCCCACCCTCATTAATCGGGCCGGACGAAAGGGGGGGGATTGGGAAAGGGAGGGGTACGGAATTTGCTGCATGCAGCTGGTTTCGGCCCCATCGAGGGGCCCATTCCTCGATACATAGCCGCCTCCGGCGCAAGGAGGCGCCGGGAAAATCAGCTACGTAAGCTGATTCTCAAACCCCCCCTTTGAGATCTCCCCCTTTCGCCCGACCCGACGCTCGGCGGCGAGCCCGGGTGGCAGTGAGAACTTCTCGAAGGGCTCGGAAGTCCCCAGGGCCTCTGAGAAGTTTCATGGGCCTTCCCTGAAGACACAGGAACCTTTGTGCTTCCCCCCCTTTCGAGAATACCCGCCCCTTCTCGCTTCCACCCGGGCTCGCCGCCGAGCGTCGGGTCGGGCGAAAGGGGGGGATAGCAAAGGGGGGCTTTGAGAATCAGCTCACGTAGCTGATTTCCCCGGCGCCTCCCTGCGCCGGAGGCGGCGATGTATCGAGGAATGGGCCCCTCGATGGGGCCGAAACCAGCTGCATGCAGCAAATTTCGTAACCCCCCCTTTCCCAATCCCCCCCGTTCGTCCGGCCCGAATTGAGCAGCGCCCACAGAGGACGAGTGCCAGGACCTCAGGGACCAGCTGCGCGACGTGGGCGGCGGAGCGGCGGTCGCCGTGGCCGGAGGCGGGGGCGACAGGCGGAGGGGGCTGCCGCGGCTGCCCCCATCCCCGGGAGCGGGGCGGATTGCGCTGTCGCAAGAGAAGGAGGAGGAGGAGGAGGAGGAGGAGGAGGAGGAGGAGGAGGAGGAGGAGGAGGAGGAGGAGGAGGAGGAGGAGACGGAGGAGGAGGAGGAGGAGGAGGAGGAGGAGGAGGAGGAGGAGGAGGAGGAGGAGGAGGAGGAGGAGGAGGAGGGAGGAGGAGGAGGAGAGGAGGAGGAGGAGGAGGAGGAGGAGGAGGAGGAGGAGGAGGAGGAGGAGGAGGAGGAGGAGGAGGAGGAGGAGGAGGAGGAGGAGGAGGAGGAGGAGGAGGAGGAGGAGGAGGAGGAGGAGGGGGAGGAGGAGGAGGAGGAGGAGGAGGAGGAGGAGGAGGAGGAGGAGATAAGAGGGGGGTGGGCCATAGGGAGAGGGTAACGTCGACCCCCCCTCCCTCCCCTCTGCGGCAGCCCTCTCCTGGCTCCCCCCCCTCTTGCACGCGTGACAATTAGCAACGCCGTCGCCCAGGCTGCTCGACGCGCGAGCGGATCGCCTCACTGCCCGCGCCGCGGCGGGAAAACGTTTCTCGAGCGCTGCCGCCGAAGAGCGGGATGAGCTGTCCCGAGAGGGCCTGATCCTGCCACTGGGTCCCTGTCTGACAGAGCAAGGTCAAGGCCCGTCGGGCTCTGACTGGGGCTCGGGCTGGGGACGGCTGCTCTCAGCTGCCCAGCCCCTCCCCCCCAATCCCCAGGGGCGCCGATAGGCGTCGGGGGAAGAAGCACGCTGACCAAGACCAAGATTGGGATTGGCGGGGTGCTGAGGGTACCCCTGGGCCCAAGGTGCCCCCAGCTTTTCGCTCCATTTTGGAGTCCCTGGGGCCCTCTGGGCCTCGTGGGTTCTCGGTAGGCCGTTGGGGGCCTCCTTGGAAATCCTGGGGGCACGGTGGGCCAGGGGCACTTCTAGCATCACGCTGCAGCTTCCTGGTGTGGGCGAGTTCAGGCTCGGACTCGAGCTCACGGGCTCGGGTCGGGTCGGCGGGCCCAGAGGTTGGGGCTCTGGGTTGTGTTCGACCTGAGCAGCTCGGGTTTCGGGTTTCAGGCAGTGGCGAAGCGTCCTGGCGTGCCTATAGTCCTACCAAACAGTGTTCTAAGAACCTTTTGTTGTTCCCACGAACTGTTCTTAGAACATTTCTGGTTGTCTTGTTTTATTGCATCGGGTTTATGTTCTAAGAACCTGACTCTTGTTCTTAGAACATTTCTGGGTTCTAAGCACATCTCGTGGTAGGACTATAGGAATGCCGGGTCGGTCGGTCCCTGCTCAAGGGTTCCGGGCTGGGCTCGCGCTTGGGCCGGGCTCACCCGCATCGCAGGGGCGCCGACGGGAGTCGAGAGAATAAGCACGCTGACCATGACCACGGTCGTGGCCCATATCGCCCGTCGCCCATTCGCGAGGATGATCCGCGAACTGGCGGCAACCAAGTTCCGCACCGATGTCTCCTCGTTTAGTCTTATGATGTTCCAACCTACTTTAGCCTCGATCGCCAGAAAGAATTCCGAGCCCCCCTAAAAAGTGCCCAAATTCGAGTGGTCGAAGTTATTTCTGGGATGTGTTTTTTATGTACGATGGGAGCAACATAGGTTGGGTCTTGGTAAAGGTCCCCGTTTTCTTTCCTCCATGGGGGGGGAGGCGGTTTGGGGCCTCGTTTTTGCTCGGCCGTTGTCCCTCCGCCGTGCTGCCCTCCTCTGGTTTTCGCTCGTTCGTGCTTTCGGGCCCTCGTTCGGTCCCCTCCTGCGGCACCCGGGAGCGAACGCTTCACTCTCACCCACGTCCAAGCAAGGAGGGCGAGGAGGAGGAGGAGGAGGGCGAGGAGGAGGAGGAGGAGGAGGAGATGGGATGAGAACGAGGAGGCGGAGGAGGAAGACGAGGAGGAGGAGGAAGATGAGGAGGAGGAGGAGGAGGAGGAAGAGGAGGAGGAGGGAGTGAGAAGAAGGAGCAGGAGGAGGAGGAGGAGGAGGAGGAGGAGGAGGAGGAGGAGGTGGAGGAGGAGGAGAGGAGGAAGGAGAGTGCGGAGAGGGAGGATGAGGAGAAAGAGGAGGAGGATAATGAGGAGGCGGAGGAGGAAGAAGGAGAGGAGGAGGAGGAGGAAGAAGAGGAGGAGGAGGAGGAGGAGATGGGATGATAATGAGGAGGAATAGGAGGAGAAAGGGAGGAGAAAGGGAGGAGGAGGAGGAAGAGGAGGAGGAGGAAGAGGAGGAGGAGGAGGAGGAGATGGGAGGGCCAGAGGGGGAGGGTAACGTCGACGCCCAGTCTCCCTCTCGTCACCGATGGGGGGCCTGGGCTCCCCCCGTGCCCAGGGGCGCGCGGCTTCGCCTTCGGGGGCCCGTCTTCGATCCATCGGCGAGGCACCGTCGATTCCCGGCCATTCCCCTCCGCCCCCTTTCGCACTCCATGCTTCCTACCCGAAGCGCCCCCCCCACCTGCTTTCCAGTGGCTCTCTAGTGGCTCCCACCAATATTGGATCGACGAGTGAGGCGGGTGTTGCTAGACGCGCCCCTGGCCCAACGTGCCCCCAGGACTTCCAGGGAGGCCCCCGCGGCCTCCAGGGCACCCCTCGCGAGGCTCAGAGGGCCCCAGGGGCGTCAAAATGGAGCGACAAGCTGGGGGCCAGGGGTACCTTTAGCAACCCCCGAGTGAGCCCCCCCCCCCCCCCCTTTCGGCTCCCCTCACCGTCAGCATCGCCAGACCTACCTCCACTCCCACTCGGGGAAGCCTCGGCCCCGCTGCCCCCGCCCGACCGACCCCCCCCGCCGCACAACGTTTCAAACATCGCCCTGAAATCACCTTTTGGTGGCCTCCAGATGGCCGAAAACACCCCCTACAGTCGGGGCCCTGAAGAAGGAACCCTTTTGGTTGGGGAGGGGCTCCGCGTTCCGTAAGTGTTTCACAGCTTGCCTCAGGTTTTCCTGATGTTTTCGATAGGAAGTCGAAGTTTAACTTATGGACAAAAGGGGCCTCGTTCCTTATTTAGGGTTCCTTAGGTCAACGCCCCGACTGTGTCGGGTCCCAAGAGGACTCTGGGAGCGCCCGTCCCACGGGCCGGCTCCCTCGGCGCCCGTCCCCGCCCGAGGGCAGGCGGGCGGCGCAGAGGGGCCCCGACCCACTGGGGGTGGAGATCGGCCTGACGAGGCTGACCCACTGGGTCGCGAACATACTGGGGGAAAACGATTAAACAAAAAACAAACTTTCTGGGGCGGACGATCAAACAAATCTTTCGCGGGCCTCCTCGCCCCCGCAATATGAGCGGGGGGGGGGCAGGGCAGGCAGACGGGGGGCTGACAATTCCGGGTTGCCTGGAAGGCCGGGGGGGGGGCACGGGGTGGCGATCCAGGGCGCGGGGGCCAGGGGGGTGGACGGGGTGATTTTTCAGGGCGAGCTCGTCCTCCTCCTCCTCCTCCTCCTCCTCCTCCTCCTCCTCCTCCAGTGGAGCGGAGGTGCAAGATCGAGGTCGGCTCGGGGAGGGCACCCTACCGTTCTTCGTGCTTGTTGGATGTCCTTTGTGTATCCATGGGGAGGGCACCCTCGACTTTTTGTCGAAGGCCTGCGGTGTTTCGGCTGGCGGAGGGTGCCATGCTCTTGAAGGACGCGCCTCTGTCCCAGCTCCGACCGCAGAGCCGAGACCTCGAAGGCGAGGAACACCTCGGCCTCCGGGGGGGGGAGAGGGCCCTTCCGGGGCCCTCGGGGCCCTTCCGGGGACCCCTTCGTGGCCGAGGCTCGCCGCGGCCCGAAGAGCCCCTCCGCGCCCGAGGGCCGCGCGGTGGCCGTCGTCGCGCTTCGCACGTCCGGCCCGGACCGGGGAGCCGCGCTTCTCCAGGGCGGCCCCGCGAGGGCGCGGAGACCCGCCGCCGCTTGCGCGCATCGCGGGCGCGGTGGCGCATCGCAGGCGCGGCGCGCGCGCTTGCCGTGGCTCCTCCGCCGCGTCCCGGTCCTCGTGGGCTGCCTTCTCCTCGGCCTGCCCGTCACGTCGGCAGGGTGCTGGTGCGGAGGGACCTCTGGGGGGCAGGGCGTCCGTCGCCCTGCGGGGTCTTTGTGGCTGGGGCTGCCAGAGCTCGAGAGTCGCCTCCTTCGACGGGCCCTCGCGTGCTTCGCAGGTCACGCGTGCTCCTATTCATTCATTTTTGTCTCTGCATGGCTTCCACCTCCGCCGCCGCCCCGTCCTCTCCCCCCCCCCCCTGGCTCCGCACTCTCCTCGAAGCTGCCATTATGGGGCCGCGCTCGCTCCCCGAGAAAAATAGGGGGCGAGGGAAGGAGGAGGCGGAGGAGGAGGAAGAGGAGGAAGAGGAGGAGGAGGAGGAGGAGGAGAAGGAGGAGGAAGAGAAGGAGGAGGAGGAGGAGGAGGAGGAGGAGGAGGAGGAGGAGCTGTAGGAGGAGGAGGAGTGCGTTCGTATGTGTTCTGATCTCGTCAATTCTCGCTGTAGCCATCGAGTTCGACCAGGTGCTGGCAGGACTTTCTTGGAGTGCAGAAGAGTGTGCTGCCGTACTCGTGATGTCCGCACACATATTTCGATACATGGGCATATGTGTATATTTATATGTACAACAACTGGGAGCGGGACAGGAAGATAGAGGGAGAGAGGAGACGCGGGATGAGAGAGGAGAGCGGCGAGAAAAGACAGGCGGCATCATCATCAGCGAGACTATCGGGGAGGAGGAGGAGGTGGTGGTGGAGGTGGAGGATGAGGAGTAAGAACAGGGCAAAGATGAGGAGGAGGAGGAAGACGAAACGGAAATGGGAGGAGGAGGAGGAGGAGGAGGAGGAGGAGGAGGATAATGATGATGATGATGATGATGATGATGATGATGATGATGATGATGATGATGATGATGATGATGATGATGATGATGATGATGATGATGATGATGATGATGATGATGATGGGGAGGATAAGGGGTACGAGGACGAGGACAAGGACGAGGAGGAGGACGAGGACGAGGAGGAGGACGAGGA